TGCAATTCCCATTCTGGGCTGACCTGTGGATCATCTGGTAAGGAGTGTTAAATGTGTGATCCAGATGGCCTCCAAATTCCTCCCCAGGTGAACTGTGCTCATTCCACTGCAGTTGGGCAATAGTGGAGGCTCCTTTCTAACCTTCTCCCCTACCCCAGGCTTGAGTTAGGACTTTAAAAAGGATTATAGTTTGCTGAAACTGTTCTGAAAGCTGATATTTTGAAATAATGCACATATATACATGTTTATGCAGAAAAACATAATAATTTTTATTTAAGAAACAATATTTTAATCCCAATAATTAATAGTTCAGCATCTGAAAGGGAGATATGGGAAATGGTCTGTGGAAGAGTCTGCGGGACCACATTGCCATAATTATATTTGTTCATTTTAATAAAGAAAACTGAAGAGAGAAATTCCTTGAGGCTGCATATGCTACATCTGATCTGATCTTCACTGCAGTTTGTTATAGGTCTTTTTTCTGATGTTCTGGGTGTTGACCAAAACCATTGATGCTGAATACCCCAACTTAGCAGAGATATATTAAAAAGTGTATTAAAAAAACCCCACCTTGATAATTTCACTGCATAATTCAAATTCTTCATTCCTTAACTGAGCAGTTGAGTTCCAGTAAAGACAGCAAGCCAGGGAATCCTGCTAACATGATTATCTGAGAATTGTATTTGGATGTCTAAGCAAGCTGCAGAGAACAGGGACAGTAAACAGGACTGGAAATTTCACAGATGAAATAGAATTAATGCCTGGGTATGGCTTGAAAGAACAGTGAGACTGTTTCTTTGGTTTGCTGGGCTCTTCAGATTAGGACTATATCTCAGCTGGATGTTTCCTTTTTTGTTTTTTTCTTTGGATGGGAATGCATTTCTCACCTGTAAAATACATGTTTGCTTAATCTTTTTTGAGGTCATTGTTCTGAAGTAATCACTAACATTGGTTGTTCTAATCAGGTTTCCACCTAACTTGAGAAACAGGTTCATTTTTGTGGCTCAGCTGATTCCAGGGAATGCAAAATATAGTGTGAAAATAGCAATGCATATGACCAGTTTGCTTAACTGTCTCAAAGTCCTTATTAAAAGTCTAGCTGTAGCCGCTGAAATCTTGAAATCTTCAAAACTGGAATGGAAGACTCTGGTATTTAACTTTTTAAGCCACATTAAGGTCCATTAGGTATTGTGATCTCAAGCTAGAGATGGAGGGGAGAAAAAAATATGTCATTTCTGTCATGATGTGGTTTCAGATCAAAATCTCATATGTTTTTTAATCATGGAATTGTTTTTCATAATCCTTGTATTAAGGTTAAATTTATTTTTATTATGTTAAAAGCTCTGATTTTTTGTTCATGCAAAATCTGGAAGTAGAATGTCTAGACTTTGAATTATGCTAAATCCACTGCAATTTATCCCAGGATTATTTATTTGGGGTTATTTGTACAGAAGTGCCATTAATGTGTTGAGCAGTTTGTTCTGGAACTGCAGGGACATGACAGTCAGCTGTAACTTTGGGGTGAACTTAACAATTGTTACCTTTGACTCGCTTGACTGTTCTGTTATTTTAATAAAAACAATAGTTTTATTTAGAAAACAGATTTTAGAAACACTCAACCATAAAAATGCTTCTATATTTTATATAAATATACATAAAAATGTGTTTATATAAAAATGTGTTTATATAAAAATGTAGGGTGCAAATGGCATAGTTGTTAATTGACATTTACTTTACCTAAAGTGCACCCCCTCTTACTATGGTGTTACCACAAATTGACACCATCTCATGAATGTTCTTCTAGCAGCAAATCCAAGAAGAAATTGTAGTTTATCTAGGGGAAACCACTTTCTTTCACTTTGATTCTTAGTAACTTGTTCTTGTACAGACAAGAGAAATGGAGGTTCATGACTTCCCAGGTATTTAATTTCTTTTCTTAGTAACTTGTTAGGGATGCATTCATTTTCTGATCAGAGGAGTTTTGCATCTGGAAATCTCCACAACTTCTTGTGAACAACCTGAAGTTTATTACTGCAGTGTTTATAATAGGGTTTTCGTAGTCCTTGTCTGGCTGTAGATGGATAAGGGAGCCCTGCTGGATAATGTCACTTTCCCAGGAGCTTGTATCACATGGCCCTTGCTCTCCAGTTTGTCTCAGTGACAATTCTAAACTTTGTGCAAGCACAAACTCCTCTCCTTTGTGGACACTGGCAGTAGTTTTCTATGAAATGTTGCACTTCAGTAAGCCTTCACATGTGGGAGGAATATTTCTAGCATTCATTCTTTCAAATCTGTCTTTTCCTTTGTTGTCATCTTATTCCATTTGCTTATCACAGGATGAGAGAAATTTAAACTGTTCCAGTTTATCTTACAGGACGTAGAGTGGGACAGAGTGTGTAAGACTTCTCTTGGGGAACATCTGCTTCCCAATAGTCTCCTTGAATGTGGAATCGTTCTGATGAGAAACTGACTGGTAGCATGAATAATGTTTGCCCAGGCTGGCTCAGAAGCAAGGAAGTAAGTTAATTTTTACTAGAGATAGAGAAGGTAATACGTAGAGTTGTAATGATCTTGTCAGATCTGCTGTCCACAAGATCAGATAGTTAATCTGAGTTATTTACCTGGGCTCCTGAGACAGTAAATAGCAAAAAAGGCATTGTCAGAGGGCAGTTTATTCACTTCTGAGACAGACAAGAGAGGTCCTTTCCAGAGAGGAATTAGTCAGAAGTTTATACTAAGAAACTTGGTTGTTGCTAGCACAGATGTATTATAAGTGGCCCATTGTTATTTTTGTAAAATCATAAAACATTTTGAGGTAGAAGGTAAGTTACAAGTTTAAATGTTGTGTATGCACAGGGTAAATGCTTGTGTAAGAACCAGGACACTTGAAAAAATTCTAAGCATGCAGGCTCCAAAGGCCAAAGAAAATAACAAAAAATAAGAGCAACAATAAAATTTCTTAGGCACATCTTTTAAGTAGTTTTACTGAAAATTATTGACATAAGTGCATGAGAAATTTATATAATTTAGAAAAACAAGATAGTTCTTAGTTTGAATGTCAAGTCTGAGCTGGGAGAATGTGTGAGATAGTAAACTTAATTTTTGGAGCAGTGAAGATTACTGACACTGGACAGTTTATAAAGGCAGCCGCAAGCCCGACTTTTTCAGGTGTGACACGTTGATGTGGAGTCATTGTTGCCCTCTGCTGGCATCTGCTGAAAGCTCCTAAGGCTTTCCTCATCAAGCACCGCGGTGTCCGTGGTTGATTTCAGAGGGACACTGTTAATATGTTTCAGACACATTCAAGCTCATCCTTTGAAGGCAAAAGTCTTTCTCTTTAAAGAGACATGAGGGTGGGGGAGAGAGGGAGGAGGGTAGAACTCCTACCTGTCATCTTTCATCTGCTTACAAACTGTTGAAAGCTTTAAATTCCCTATTCAAAAGCCCCCAGACATAAAAATGTCAGCTGAATTAATTCAATATTTTGAGTAGTGACAACTGTTGGAGTGTTTGAATTTTGGGGGCATGAATTAAAGGCATCAAGGGTCAGGGGAGAGAGGATCATATATCAAACTGCTCAGTGAAAACTCAACTCTAACACAGAGGTTGTTGTCATCATCCTAAAAAGAGTCCCAAAACCCCAGTTCACACAGTTGAGCTTTCTGAGAGATGACAACACAAGAGAGAAAAATATTTGTGTTTACAAGTGCCTTGCTGGCCAGTCTTGTGCTTCTATCATTCACAGTTACCTATACAGAAATAAAAGACAAAAGAACAAAATAATCTGTCTACAAAGTAGGGGAGGGTGGCCATCCTCTTCCCTAAATAATCATCTCACCTCAGGTGCCCCTGAGTCTCTACACAACATGTGGCAATGGAGATTTCATGTTCAGCAGTGGCTCTTTGTCAATATATTTGGAATATCAGTCTGGTTTTTTTTTTTTTTTTTAACTGTGAAATGTAGTTAATCTTGCTTGCCTATTTTAGAAGATTGAGTATGAGTGTTAATAAAGTGTTTGATATTTGGTCTTTATTAAATCTATATGTGCAGAAATACCTGTTGTGAGCAGAAAGCTTTGCATTGACTTTATAAAACAGGCTTTGCTTAACTTGTGACAAACCTTTATTTGAGAAGACACCTTCAGCGTTATGGTTGTGTAGAACAAAATCCATTTCGCTAACAGAAAATTTTCTATCATAATTTTTTCTACTGTGTTTTGTAATGGAAACAGCCTGATCTTTGCTTTTAAAGTGTTGTGTACAGGAAGAGGAGGCAGTACACTCAGATTCTGGTGCATTGCTGAAAGAGTTAAAAATTCAAGTACATTTCTTCCTAATGATGGTGCTCAGAAACTCTTTACTGTTTGTCTCTGAACAGCTCAGTATCCACATTACACTAATGTGAGTTTGGGAAAATCGATGCCAAATGACACCGGTGTAATGGAGCATTAAACAAATACCTTTCAGATATGGGATGCTGCAAGGGTGATGCTAAGATTGTTCTGCTTCTACTTCAGTCATGAATTGGGACACAAATATTGCAGAAACTTTTGATTAACCAGCTTCTAACACAGATCCAGCATTATAAAAGAGTGGATTTTATATTCCATTTGGATTCTGACACCCAGAGGCCTCTAATAACGACCAGATGTGAAATAGAAAAAATATTTGGGAGCAGTTAATGCCTAACCATAAAAGTGACCATGTGTAAATCACTGTAGAATGTGGTTTGAGCAAGGGCATTAGGTGTTTTCCTTTTGGTTTTATTTCCCCCAAGGCTGTCTGTGTGTATTCGTATATTGTAGTACAAAATCAGTCAGCAAAGAGAAATATTTTGATCCAGCACTCCATACCACTCAGGCAGGATTATTTGTAATATTTCTAAAGTTTAAATCTGTTCTTTGAAGAGAAAAGTGGTTCAGTTTGAAAAAGAGCTGTGCTGCAAGGCTTTCATCCTCTGAGGGCACATTGCTTCGTCCTGATGCTTCTCTTGTTCTCAGGTGAGCGTCCTTACCAGTGTCCTTACTGTGACAAAGCTTTCAGCAAGAACGATGGCTTGAAGATGCACATTCGCACCCACACCAGGGTAAGTCCCACACAAGGAGGAGTTTTTATGGTTGCTTGAGGATTGTCTGTGACTTATGTGGTGAAAAGTAATTAATTCCTGTTTGTGTAGAGATTAGGCTCTGCCAACCGAGGTATTTTATGCCTATCAAAATACGAAGCAAAGATTAAAGTCATTAACTTACAAATTCTAATTAGAACTCCACTACCTTCTATTTTTTATGTGTTTGAGTTCTTTTATGTTGAAATAATAGCTGTACTAACCTCTTCATTTAACCTATGGTTTATAGATATAAATTAATGTTGTTTACTGAGTAAACAGTTCTGTAAAGGCTTCACTGAGAGTGAAACTTCAATATCCAGTGCTTTGATTCTTACTGTGCCTATACAGTCCAGTTACTGTGAGCTTTTCTAGTACTTTATTAACAGGTGACAATTTTTTATATAACTTTAACTGGGTGCTGTTGCAGCTCACAGAGATCAGTGCAGCCTTAAGGCCAAACCAAGAAAATTCTGCATCTACTGGGAAATAGGGAAGGTGACATTTAACTTAGTAGTCTCCATATGCAAATAAGCACACAGAATTGCTTTCTATATAAGTAAAATTATAAACTGTTTAAATTTCTACTGTTTTGTGTGGGTCTTGAGCATATTAACTAGGAGGTCCTAGATAATGTTGTTGCTTTTGTACCCCAGACTATACAAGTAATGAGTAGTTTATGCAATACTTTTGGTAGTTCATTGGGAGCAGGCTAGTCCCATGTTGTTAGTTGTTTCTCCCTCTTTTTTGCAGCTGTTAAATCACTTTAAGAAGTGCTATAAATTCTTTTCTGCTGTTACTGTCTCCTCTTAACTGTGTTTGCACTTGGAGAAATTTCATGACCCATCTAAGTTCTGCATGACTGTGAGGGGTAAACAAGCTCTGAAACAGTGCCAAATTCAATTTTTTTCCCTGATTTTTCATACAGTTTGAGTAAAAACAACAAACACTCCCCAGCCTCTGTAGAAGAAAAATAGAGGAAAAAAAATAATACTAGGCTTTTAAAGCCTACAGTGATTTACACCAAGTGATGTTTTCTTCTAAGCACTTTTTAGCTGCTAGGAAGGGGAGGATTTAGGAAGATAAATTTTAAGGAGTGGATATTTCTTTTTAATATATGTGGACACTGTAATTAGACAAGCTTTGTGTTGCACTAAGAACACAATAAAATTTGTTTTAAAATGTCTCTACTGTACCATGGAGGCCAAATACCATCCATAGAGGTACAAAGATCTCAGTTCACACCAAATGTGATCCAAGTGCTTCTAACACTTGAGATGTGTTGATCATCTACATTTGAAAGGTCACATTTCAGATTTTTTTATTTTGGTGTGTGGGGGTGTTAAGAAGACTGCTGGCCATCCCCACAGCTATGCTGTAGGATTAAAATGTGCAGGCCAAACATGTTTTTTTAGATGTGCTTTTTGTGGTGATGCTGCTCCCATCGCAAAACTTGACAGTGAGGCTCATTCATATTTGATTGCCATTACATGTTCATTTATCTTCAGGTAAATATTTTTTTAACTTTGAAGTTACAAGAATCAGTACTATTAATTTACATTAATATTAATTTCTAAATTGAAGCCTATAATTGTTGCTATAATTTTGCATGTCCCAACTTCCCCTCTTCTTCACAGTTCACCTTATTTAATATTTAGGTAGAACTGGACAGCTAAAAAATCAACGGTCATCTTAGGAGGAGGAGGAAAATAATGAGTTGAAATTATTAATAAAAAAAAGAGAAAAGAAAACGCAGTTTATTACTGACTCCAATGGATTTTCAAGCCAGAGGAAGGAATTATGCCTGAATCTGTTCTGCAGAACAGAAGTACTGATCCTTGAAGTACTACAGGATAATAAGCTATTGTTATTTTATTTTTCAGGTGAGTAAATATTAGTACAGGTACTAAGGAATAAATATGTATTTTAGCTGATGAGGAAGAACAGCATGGTGAAGGGAATTGGAAAGGAAGGGAAAGGGAAGTGGGAGAGCAACAATACTGAGAGGTACATGGGAAAGACACTATTTGTGTCTTGGCAAAAATGTGCAGATATATTTAATCTTAGTAGCAGGGTACAGGAACCAAACCAACTCTTCTTCAGCAGAGAAAGCAGCTGCTGAGCTGTTCAAATGTGTCTTTCTTGAGGTGAGGGCTCATGATCTGAATCCTGACTCTGAAGATGTGTTTGAACTGCTCTATATAAAGACTTCTCCATGGGAGAAACCTGTGCAGAAAGAGTTTGAGACTCCTGAGCACAATGTACTAATGTACTAAGACTTGTTCTGTGTTCCTAGGCTGTTTAAACAAAGATGAACTAAAGATTAGGAAACAAAAAATGCACTGTGTTTGTCAAAGGTTTGGGTCCTTCTGTCAGTTCTGAGAATAAGAAAAACCAGGAAGTTACACTTGAAATTTCTCTTGTCAGTCATCCCCTGGTTTGACTTTTCAAAATGGTGTAAGGTTATAGGCTTTTCCTTTTTCACTCTTTCCTATGCATACATTTTACTTGAAATTTATTCTTGCATACAACATTGTTATTGAAAGAATAAAGACCAATATTTATAAATCCTGGAGGTATTTTTGTGTCAGCTGAGCCTAGCAATGTGGAAATTAACACAACTATATTATGCTTCTGCAGTGATAAAAGCTTTTTTATTCATAAATATCTTGCAAAAAATAATCTGGTCTTTTGGCCAGAAAGTTTGTGAAGTAGCTTAAAAGTAATACTATGGCATTCACCAAAGACAGTGGAGATTAAATGTCAGTGTATTTTACCAGTGGGCTTAAATGCTGGACTTGATGCTGGGGATCAGGGAAGGCTGCTGGAAAAATCATTGTAGAAAGTTGATTAAGGTCTGGCAGCTGCTAAAGTGAGCACAGCCTGGGTGGCCACAGGTGTTAGCTCCAGCTCTGGAGTAAACAGAGAAAGTAAGGCCAAACCCCTGCTGGCCAGGGCAGGGGAGAAAACACCACCCACCTGATATTAAAATGTCACCTGAGTACTGATTTGTTTCTATGAAAGTAAATGTGTTTGCTTTATGGTTTGATGGGTTTGTTTTTTTTTCCTTAAGGAGAAATATAACAGCCTAGGAAAACATAAATGAGGAACTTATTGAAGTTGTTGATGAAATGAGTTTACAGAGCATATCAGCTTTGATGGAGTTCCATGCACATTTCAAACCCTCACACTGCAGGAAGCTTCAGCTCTTTCCTAAGGCTTTATTCAGTGCCTAACATTGCAATGTTTAAGCTTAAACGTGTTGAAAAATTATTCTTTGTTGCAGCAATAGAATTGATAGTACTTGGAAATATGGCCATTGATAGGTGCCCAGAGTTGTTGTCATGTTGAATTGATGTTTTCGTTACTTCTGAGAATGGTGATTTTATTACAGTTGGATTCAGTGATGGAAAACAGAGTCGAAGCTATTTGAAAATGACTTTTCATCACTTGATTTGAATATTTCATATTTACATATAACAGCTATATTTAGTTTTTATAACTTCTTTAAGAATCTGAGTTCCAGTGGGTGGAAGCTGCCAGCCTGTGCTTAAATAAGGTACATTTCTGAGGTAATTTAAAAATTAGAGACATTTCAGTGTATAATTTTTGCTTCATGCATAAATGCCTACTATTTTAAATCACATTAATATTTAAATAATTTTAAACCACAATATGTATGGAAGCTAACCTACCTTGAAATAATTTTAAGTTTTATTTATGAATTTCATGGGAATAGGGATAAATCATGGTGAGTATGGAAGTGAGGCAGTCTCCTGTAGAGGACTCTTGCATACAGTGTCTTTGTTCTCAGAACAAGAAGAGGTCCTGACTTAAACAGGCTTTCCAAGGCACTCATTTGGAACTTTACACTGCCCCCTCTTTTTTAATTCAGAGGAGTATTAAAATAGTAGTAAATGAGAAATAATGCAAGGACAATATTGACATAATTTCACTTCTCCTGTGTTTCTCAGGAAATATTTGAGCTTAAAGTTTGAGAGAGTGTTATGTGTTTTAGAAGCACCACAGAATGCTACTGTCAAAAAATGATTTCTTTGTGTACTAAATATAGATTTCCGTGCACATGACAGTGAGTAATGAAATAATATGATGTGATGATTGAATTTGGAAGGGGTTTTCCAGCTTGGATTTTATCTATATTTCCCTGTTTGTAAGATAGGGGTGAGTTCCCAAACATCTGCCTGAGGATGATGTTTTTCCTTGCTTCTGGAATATGTGTTTACACATAATGTGGAAGGTTTGAATCCCACTGCACCTATATTTTCACACTTTTTTATGTGATGTTGACTGATGATCATCCTTTCCTTGTAAAGTGAAAATGTACTTTTTCTGTATTGATACTGTTATTTTCCAGGAGTAGGTGAACATTTATTGAATTTTCATCAATGCTGATTAAATAAACGCTCCTTCACTAAATTTTAGGGCCAGAAATTACCTCAGCAGTTCAAAAAATTGCAAAGAATTGAGAACTTTTCAGTTTATGGGCAGCAGATAGGCAGGACTGTCATGAAAAATGGGAAGTTAATGATATGGTAAGGCCCAATGAATTGCATATACTGGATCTTTTTAAGACATGCACTTTTTTTTTCTGGCAGACATTTCAGAGAAGATGCATGCTTTTGTTTTAATTATAAATTTTATTGCAAAAAAGATTTTTTTTTAATTACTCCTAAAACTGAAGTAATTGAGACCCGTTCTAAAAAAAACATTAGTCATTTAGAGTAAAAGTCACATTTTGTTTAAATCTGCCAGAATTATTTCACAGTTGTTTTAACAGGAGAATTTTTTGGCCTGCTATAAATGTTGGAAATATTTTTTTAAAGGATTTTACTTTTCAACGTGTTCTTGTAAAGTGATTTTTAATTGAGGCTTAATATTATAAGTTGCAAATCCCTACTATTTTTGTAGAGTTGTAAATTCTCATCACCCTTTGTCTTCCAATGTCAATGTTATATTTGTAATTTAAGTAGGCCTCTGTCTCTGGGTCAGCCATTTGCTGTAACCAGCAGAAACCTTCAGGTTCTAAGAGAGCGTCTTGTTAGTTCTTGAATTTTTTTCAGATTTAGATACAAAATTGGAGTCTGTTAACTTGGGCTATCTGTGATTTATAAGTGTAAGCGGATTTCCTTCATTTTCAGGTTGGCACAGCTGAAGGGTTTCCAGGTTTCTCTTTGAGAGTAGTGAACTCCTGGTTGCTGCAGACACGACTGGTGTATTTTAATGTTATCTGCCTGGTCATGTTTGTTAATTCTAGGCCACATTTTTCCATTTGCCTGATTTTTTTCAAAACATTCTTTTTATTAACCCTCTGTCCAGGTGATAATGCAGGCATATCAATCATATTTAGTAACAGTAATACTGATATTTCCAAGATTTTCACATAAAACTCCTTTTGAAAGCATATAGTGTTACTGTATCAGTATCTCATGAAAAGACATTTTAAGATTTTTCTGTGAGCAAAGGAAGACTTTGTTTTAGAATAATGGAAAGAAAAGGAGGCTTTATTTTAATTTTTTTGGTGTTCTGTAGTATCACCATTATTCCTGGCTGTCAGTTTTCACGTTCATGTCACAAGTGTAAATATTTACATGTAATACAAAACCTGATAAGCTTTTCCTTTTTTCTCTGAACTTCTCTCAAGCTTCAGTTTTCAGCATGTTGAAAATAGAGTTGGTAGTTTTGTTTTTAACTCTTATTTCAATCTTGAGATACGTTTATTTGGTAATAATAGTGTTTAAATTATGTTTGTCTTGCTGTAACAGTTGAGCTGATGGAATAGTTCTAAATTCATATTTAGAAAGTAAGTTGGAGAGACTCCTACCAAAGTCATTCGTGTTTCACCTGTGTAACCAATATTACCAGGTTTACAGAAACAGCCAGTATTACCAGGTTTGTAGTGCATAAGTGCTGACTTAATGTACATAATGCGTTTATATTTCTTAAGGGACATACAGGCAACTGCAGCAGCAGCTAGCAGTTCAAATATTCTGTATTTGGGTATTTTCATCTGCTGTGCTTGCTGGACACTCTGTGCACATTTTGTATCAAGCTGTTGAAGGTGCATCAAGTGTCCTTGAGATTTGTCATGTTCTGAGTGAGGTCTTTCTAGTGCAAAGCACAACTTGCTTAGAATTCACGGTGGGATTTGTGATTCAGCCATCCACAGACACAGGAGTGTATACTGCAGGCACTGCTTTATTTGATTTTTTTTTTTTTTAATGTTTAATTTCTCTCAGTTTTAATGGTGAAACCCACCAGAGATGGGAGCTTTTAGGTCAGCGTGTGTCAGTCTTACAGCAAAGCACCTTCCAGAGTACCATTGGGCTCTGCTTGGCCTTTCCTTGTTCAGAGGCAGGAAGGTTGTAAATCCTGATCTACATATTTCTATTCATACCTGGCATGCTTAAAACTGTGATATTAAATCACTGGAGTATCAGCCACGTCCTGTCTCTCTCACTCTACCTGCTCCCTTCCTCATTTAGATGGTCAATAAAAGAAAACGCATGGAATCCGTCAGTTTGGCTACCACCATAGCCATGGCCTGGCAGATGCTTCTTCAACAGAGGGCAAATTTATAGTATCAGCACTTGCTAACTCCACTGAAGTCAGGTTTGGATCCTCTTCCCAATGAGCTCCTGTTTTGCTGATAGTTAGCAGGTTTTCTCCTTTTTTTGATCTTTTAAATTTGTCCAGCTTTATTCCCATCTCAG